TAATTTTTCGTAATTTACACCTTTAGTTTTATTTTAAAAGAAGGGCACTTTATTTTATGACATTTGACAACTGTCAACTAACTTCAGCCGGTGACTAAAATGTCATAAAGCTATTTAAAAGATTTAGTGTCATGGAAACATGCATGTGTACGATAATGGGCTTTTTAAAGGTGGGCGTACCTATAGGTACCTATATGTACTTAAGTAAATAAAATACTTTTTTTACTTGTTTAGTTTTAATATTAGTTTTAATATTAATTTAGGTAGTTAAGTACCTACCTACATAAAAAATAAATATTCATGCAAAAGTGATTTAATTTGAAGAGGTGAATGCCAAGTTGAATGCCTTCTAATTTTGCCAAACAAATCAATAGATGTAAACTTTGAAACACCTGACTGGTTATAATTGGTAAATTTTGTGCTTATGTGGTGTGCCGGTTAATTATTTTGGCAAGGTAATTTATTTTTTTTAAACATATTTACCATAAGCACTACTTTTCTATTTTTTGTTGTTTTTATTATTATTATTAATAAATAACCTGTATAAGCTTATACTAGTATAGGTATATCGTGTTCAGCTACTGGTTTTAAAAGTGTAGATGAGAGCCGGTATTTATGCAGACAATAAAAAAACATTTTGCACTACATAATAAAACTTAATAAATACTGCAATATCAAATAAAAAAATTTACTTTTTTTATTATTATTTTGGCAAGGTAATTTATTTTTTTTAAACATATTTTTTTACCATAAGCACTACTTTTCTATTTTTTGTTGTTTTTATTATTTTTATTAATAAATAACCTGTATAAGCTTATACTAGTATAGGTATATCGTGTTCAGCTACTGGTTTTAAAAAGTGTAGATGAGAGCCAGTATTTATGCAGACAATAAAAAAACATTTTGCACTACATAATAAAACTTAATAAATACTGCAATATCAAATAAAAAAATTTACTTTTTTTATTATTTTTATTTTAATAATTAACCTGTAGGTATATGTATAGTCTTCAGCTGCTGGTTTTAAAAAGTGTAAATGAGGGCCGGTATTTATGCAAATAACAATAAAAAAACACTTTGCACTAAGAAAACTTAACAAATAATGTATTGACAAATAATTAAATCTACTTACATCGACAGAAAAACATTCCTGAGGAGTCCTTTGGGTTATCATGTTTAAAATTTTTAAATGTTTCCAAAAATGACACAACAAAACACAAATAACTAAATAAAAACAAACGAAAACACTAAACAATCATTCACAAATGAATAAAAACACATCACATCTATTAGTTTTTGGTAGAAAATTAAAAAATAAAAGTTTTTTAGGTTAGGACAACTTATAAACAGAAAGAAACCTACCGTACAACATTCACCTAAACACTGAAGATAATCAATATTTTCTTCTCCATATTGGGTTTAACATTTTCACGGCCAACTCGCTTATGTTTGATTCGCGTTGTCATGGCCAATGCAATCTATTACATTGACAAAATGTACGGGTTGTCAAAAAAACTGAAAATAGGGTAGTTATTAAAAAACTGTAAATAGGTTAATTAACCTATTTTTAGTTGATTTGACAAACCGAACATTTTGTCAATGCAGAGATATGGAGGTGGTATATACTGTGTAAGGCCTACCTCCATATCTCTGTGTCAATGTAATAGCGTTGGGCCTTATTCACTTCTTGTCATGGAGATACTGTGTAAGGCCTACTCTGTAGGCACAAAAATACACTTCTCAGCCGCATGGCATACAATATTTTATATTCAAGGCATAATTTTATTTTTTAATTGGTCCAAACAGGTTTTTTACTAATTTAGGTAGTCTAATTTTTTTATTGGTTCAAACGGTTTATTTTACAGACTAGGAGGTAAAAAACGATAAATTATCGCCGTTTGAACCAATAAAAAAACGCTGTGTCTAGTCTCACGCTAGCGTGAACGCAATTTAATTTTTATTCTCACGCTAAAGTCAAAATAATTTTAATTTTATTCTCACGCATTATTTTATTTAATTTTACTTTTTAGGTGTCGTGTCATTTGATTTGATTATTATTTGATTATGTCATTTGATTTGATTATGCAAATTTAATAAAATTTACTAATAATAAAATCGAGACTCTTTTACTGCAGCCAAACCAACCCAAACTCAACAACACAACCCAACCGACCCCGCCCCTATGCCCCCCCCCGTCCCATTGAGCAAAAAACCCAACTAAAATGGGCAAATTTATGTTACGATAAAAATAAAACACTTTAACAAAGGAACAACAAATTTATGAAATAAAAAAAGTTCGACAACTTCTGGTACCACGTAGATTTTATGTTACGATAAAACTAAAACAAATTAACCAACCCAACCCAACCGAACACTGTTTAACAAAGAAACAACAAATTTATGAAATAAAAAAATAAAAAAAGTTCTTAGAATCGAACCCGGGACCTCTCGCATGCCAAGCGCAAATCAAATCAAATCAAATCAAAAATATTTATTCATGTTCATGTAAAGTATAATAAATTGTATAAATAATTTCAAGTATATATATATGGTGTAAAAAGTGAAATGAACAAAACAAATGTGCCTGGCACGTAATATTACATATGTTCAACATAAAGGAGGCCACTATATGTACGTAAAAAAACGCAATATAGCAACCCCCCTGGCCGATGTTTTGGCCTACCCGAAATTAGAATACAATTTGGAATTTTCTCGCAGCTCGCCATTCCCTTCGCTCAACCGATGCAGGGGCAATATATATTGTTCGGATGTTTTATGTGTAAAATTAAGGACTGTCAGTTTATGCTTTTCATAATTTTTGGATAAAGGTATTAAGGGAAAAAAACATGCCAAGCGCCAGCCCTACCATCGGAGCCATCTAGCTTGTTGTCAAATATTAAACGCTCTGGGAACAAAAACGGATTATAAATAGTGACGTCACCGCGTGAGAATAAGAATAAAATTGCGTTCACGCTAGCGTGAGACTAGACACAGCGATAAAAAAATGGACTACCTAACCTAACTTTTATTATTTTTAGTTGTGGTTTGTTCTGTGGCTGTGTCTACGGTAACGTTGTACCTACGTTAACGTAATCTTATGTATCGTTTAACAAATAAAATATTTAGTATGACATCATTCAAAAATGTTTATGCGGCTAAGAAGTGTTTATGTTTATGTGCTTTTAACTTCGGGCCACAGAATAGAACTCAGCACAAAAAGGCTAACAATGATGATCACAATAAAAAACTTTGTCGAAAAAATTAATTTGTATAGGTACTAAAATTTAATGGTTTAACATTTTATTATACGCAATATATCGCGTTAGTTCGAAGAATTTATTAATAATAATTTTTTTTTGATTTTTACTTTTTTTCTATCCTGAAGGTACTCCCAAAAAATCAGATTTTTAACCTGAGCACCGACCACTTTTTAAAAAAATAAAAGAACAAATCCTAAAAAAGTGAGAAAGTCATAATTTTGTATAATTTTTTTTTCAAACGAGGTTTTTTATTAGTATAAACCAGGACCAAATCTGCAAAACCAGGACAAAACCAGTACACAATTAAAACCGAGACACATTAGCTAAAACCAGAACCTGTCCTTGGTAAACCAGGACGGTTGGTCACCTTAAGTATAAGATACTTTTTTAATTTCAATTAAGTTTTTTTATTCACATCTTTAAAACACTATAAGTCTACTAATAAAGTAGGTAATAATATTTCATTTGGGGTAGTAATAATATAATAATTCAATTATTTTGTGAGTACCTATACTTAGAGATCTCTATTTGAAGAGTTTCCATAGAATGTCTTCAACATTTAATATATGATTTTGTGAACACATTCAGAAATAAATTCAGATTTTTTCACAGCCAGTTCCAAGAAAATATTTTTTAAAGTTAAATTTATTTTGTATCTTACAAGCTTGCTCATGAAATTTCTATAAAAAATAAAATATAGTAATCAATTTTTAAGCTATTAACATGATTCTATTTTGTTTCTTGTAATTGGAAACAAGTTTTTAAAATAATCTGAGAAATACCTCTTTTTAAACTTGAGCAACCAAAGAGGATCATGTTGATGGCTTAGAAATTGATTGGGTATTACAGTAGGTATATTTTTTATGGAAATTTCATAAACAATTTTCATTTCAAATTTTGTGCTGCCAACACAAAAATTTTAAACATTAGCCATTATTACAACAAATTAACAATTTATATTGTTACTTATTTATGTTATTAGTTTTTAATGATACTTAAATTGTTATAAAGTATTAATTTGTTAATTAAAATACGTATTATTTTTTGTACATTCTCTATTTATTTATTTATCAAACTCTTTTTTTTTTAACTTAAGGTAGTATTAACATGATTCTATTTTCTTGTAATTGGAAACAAGTTTTTAAAATAATCTGAGAAATACCTCTTTTTAAACTCGAGCAACCAAAGAGGATCATGTTGATGGCTTAGAAATTGATTAGGTATTACAGTAGGTATATTTTTTTTAGAAATTTTATAAACAATTTTCATTTCAAATTTTGTGCTGCCAACACAAAAGTTTTAAACATTATTAGCCATTATTACAACAAATTAACAATTTATATTGTTACTTATTTATGTTATTACTTTTTAATGATACTTAAATTGTTATAAAGTATTAATTTGTTAATTAAAATACGTATTATTTTTTGTACATTGGCTATGCTGAACTTGCCAAAGCATACGTTATTTATTTATCAAACTCATATTTTTTTTTAACTTAAGGTAGTATCTCCACTACCTAAGTTAAAAATATAAAAACAAAACGTAGTTACCGAACATTTTGCTTAAACAATCTTTTAATTTCTAAAATCCCCAATAAATTTAATCTACATATATAATCAACATAATATATTATTTACTTGAAAGATCATCACTTATTAACTTGGTGCACATTTTCAACATTAGAAATTATGTATCTTGTTTTATTTTTAACAAAATATGTACCTATAAGAAAAAAACATCCCACATTCATATCAACTTTATTAAGACATCAACGTACGGAATGAATGACAAAAACAATGCACAATAATTCTTCACTCATAATTCTAATTTAATTAGGTATTTAATAGATAACTTTTTTACGAAAACGAAAAAAAAATGTTACTCAGACTTATCGCTTGAGTTTTGCCGTTTCATCGACTTAAGCGCTTTTTCGCGCAACTTTTTCTCGTCCTCATTTACAATCTCCACATCACTGTTATCCGACTCCTCACTGTCGGCCTTCTTCTTTTTGTGTTTCTTGTGTTTTTTAGAGTGCTTCTTCTTTTTCTTGTGTTTCTTATCCTTCTTCCGTTTTTTCGATTCCTCCTCTAGGTCCGACTCGCTTCCCGACTTCTTCCTCTTGTGTTTGCGTTTCTTCGAAGAATCGTCGTCGCTATCAGACGAACTGTCTTTCTTGTGTTTCTTCGATTTTTCCTTGTCTGTTTCGTCGCTGCTGTCCTGTTTTTTCTTCGACTTTTTAGGCGACTCGCTGTCGCTTGATTCGTCACGTTTATTGGGCTTTTTTGTTTTGTCCGAACTTATGGATCTTCGTTTCTTACGAGATTTCCTATCGTCTTCAGAATCGGAACTTTGGTGTCTCTTTTTCGCGGGTTTCTCCTCGCTACTGTCACGTTTCTTTTTCTTCCTTTTCTCCACGTCTACGGGACTCTTCGAAGAACGTTCAGCTTCACTGTCGCTTGAACTAGAGTCGCGTTTCTTAGGCTTCCTTTTAACTTTAATCTTCTTTTTGTCCTTTTCTTTCTCCCTTGGTTCGTCGCTTTCCGAATCGCTTGACGATTCACTTTCGCTACGGGAAATCTTCTTGGATACTTTCTTAGGCTTAGCTTCGGCTTTTTCTTTATGCTTTCTCTTTTCTTCTTTGACGGCTTGGGATTTTTTGGGCGGAAACTCCTTGGCCTTGATGAAGGGCGACGGGGTGCGAGACAAGCTTCGAGAGTACCTGGGAGGTCCGTGGGGCGGTATTGGGTACTTCTTCTTTTCCGGGCTTATACTCCGCGACTTCTTCCTTTCTTTTTCCTTAGACTTTACTTCTAGCGCACCGTGGTTCTCCGACGTGCTTAATTTACGCTTTTCTTCCTTTTTCTCGTTGCGTTCTTCGCGTTTCGGTCGTTCTTCCGAAGATTTTCTCAGTGCCGGGTCTTCTTTCTTCGACTCGGACTTCTTCGGAACAGGAGAAGGTTTCGGTTCACGTGAGCTGTCACGATCTTTTTTATCGTTTCGAACCTAAAAGAAATAAAAATTACTCAATTTAAAAATTGTATTTAATTTAAAATATATTTTTTTTTAGTTTTGGTAAATTGTGTGACGGAAAATTACACATTGCAACACAAAATTTTAAACCAGATTTAATTGTTTTTTTCTGAAAGTATACCTAGGTATACCAGCTATTTAATGGTAAAACTCTCGCTGGGTTAAAAAAGTTGTCTCGAGTTTTTTTACGAATATATATAAACATTATATTTTAGGGCTAAATTGCTAAAAATATCATTTCACCTGTCGTGCGGCATTATTCGGTAATTAATTAATTAATGTTATTATAGTTAATTAATTATTAATGCCATTAAAACTCACATTAAAAAGTATATTTTATTCCTTGTAACTTATTAAGATCCTGGGATTGAGACTTTGTAATACGGGATTTTCGGGATCGGTTTTTTTACTGGATCCCTAGTAGGAATAGAAAAACTACCCAAGTAGCAAAGGGTTGCCACCGATAATGCTTTACTGTTGGTTTTAATGGTGCTCGGGAAGTTGGCTTTAATGCATCTGTTAACGCCGACTCATAGGAGCATTTGGTCTTAGGACTACTTTTCCTCTATGTAAGAATGCCACAGAACCAAACAGTAAAAAGGTTTTATGATTGTTCCTAGTAGAGCAGCAATACGTCTTTAATATAACCAATTTGCTTTTCAATTTGCGAATTTGCATGAGTGTAAACCATTTTGTTGCTATTATTTCTTTATTAAAACGTTTTTGTCTTGATAATCGCGAAGTAAATAACTCTTGTGAACATGTCGCCGCCATGCACGAGGAGTTTTTTAGAGCAGTGCACTGCAGTGGTTAAAAGTTGTTCTTCTGTGTTGTTGGCAAAACATCCGGTTGTATTGTATTCCTTTAACGTCCTGTTCCAACCAATAGCTAAATCCGCATCATTTTATCACAGCAATTAAGAAAATTTTTAGGTGTTATCATCTGACAAAGCGTTATAGATGGCGATACTTTTGATGAAAATACTGCAGTTGTTTTAAAATGCTCGCACAAAATTCCAATTGTTTTATGATTGCCTTGAAAAATGCAGTCATAGGGTTTATTAGTTTAAAGTTGTAAACACTTTTTATAGCAAGAATCTTTTTAGCAGTTGTTTGTAAAAGTACATTTTTTTATAACCGAAACCACCATTTAAATTAGAAAATATTGCTCCACCATGATGAAATAATTTTAATATAAAGTACGAATAGATAAAAATTTTCAGAAAATTTCAACAAATTTGGTTTTTACAAGCCTGTTAATGCTAGAGAATATTTGAGATGGCTTAAAAAACGGAATGTAGATTGTAATTTAGCCAAAGCCTTTAAAATTGTTTAAAATTGTTTAAATTAAGCCCATTTCAGTGGGCATCATACGTTTTTTGTCACAGCAATCAACTTTTATCAGTAAAGTGGTATTTGTTTGATTTTTGCATCCGAAAGTTATTGGTTGACAAAAGATAATAATTTTCTTATTAAGTTTTTAAAATCAATAATGGCCTATGCTTGTGATTCATAAGGCAACAATATACCAAACAAGTATTTGATTAAAGCAATATGGAATTTACAAAGTACAACATTAAATTAAAAAGGTATATCAATATGTACAAATTGTCAGCAGGCGCGTGCTGGGATAATTTTAGGGCCCGGGAAATAATTCCCTTACAGGGCCCTCCCAGGCCTTAAATTTTACGTCAAGGGTTGGGGAACTGGTGGGGGTGTTGTGTTCATGATTCAAATGTTATGTCGCGTGCTGGGGCCGACACTATAGTGACTATAGTCACTAATAATCAGGGACTTGTAACGCATTTCTGTTACGGTATCCGATACCGGTTATCTTCTTCATGTAAGGATATAAACTAAAATGAATCGAAACAGGCGCCCCCAAAAATGATAACGAAACTTGGAGAAATAATTGCATGTGCGCATCAACTACCGAAATACGGGATATTGAAACGAAACTGGTAACACTAACTGGGTAACGAAACTGTAACCAAACGCTGAATTTAAAAAAAAAACTTTTACAAAATGCACATCAACACAAAGTCTTGGAAAGAATATTCGTGATCCGTCTACTATCTGTCATGCTGTCAAGTATTGACATTGTCAAGAAAATTCATATTGGGTAAAAATTTGAATAAATAATATTGTACAATATGTATTATATTAATTGTATATTTTGCGATCTCTGGGGAAAAAAGGAGATTCCTCCTGACATAAAACTTATTTTGAACCTCACTTTTTGCCAATATTAACCTAAAGCTAACTTCATGCTATTCCGCCCACTAGTGGCGCGAGTGAGTCACGCGGGTAAAATTCTCGAGTAAAACGCGCAGGTAAGTTACACGGGTAAGTCGCGCGAGTAAGGCGCGCAGATAAATCTGGTTAGATAGCCGCAGGTATGTCGCGCGAATAAAACTCGAGAGTAAGACACCGGTAAATCAAGTAGCCCGGGTAAATGGTGCGAGTAACTCACGCAATTTGGTATACCTGATGGCCATGTGGCGCAGGAAAGACTACATATTTCTTGCGGTAACTGAATAAAACGTTTAAGGAATCTCCTCTTTCTTCCACGAGTCGTACAATACACTTATATTTACAAAATCATAAAGGTATTTGATAAGTACGCTGCTTCATTTATTTATTAACAGAAAACGTTACTATAGTAAGAAAACTTTTATGTACCTACACAGAATAGTACATTCTGTAACAAGTTTGAAATACAGCATATTCCGCTCGAGGAAAAATTTTACTCACGAGCCGAAGGCGAGTGTGACGGTTTTACTAGAGTAATATGCTATTCCAAACGTGTTTCAGACATTATTTTCTCTACAACTACGTAAGAATAGTAACGCTTATATAATTTTAACCAAAAAAAGCAGTTTTTGACATTAAAACCATTTTGTGCGGTCACAATTTTATAATGTAAATTATTATAAATTTAAACAACTGGTATGCCTAAATCTTTATTATAATTAAAAATAGTTATTTACACTAACTAATAAAAAAAATAACATTGTAACAAATACAAAACTAATTTTACAAGTAATCTATGTCAACTTTTATTCTTTTTCTACATTTTCTTTATTTATAATGTTTATGGTTATTTGATTATTGTTTTAATTAGTAAAAATGAATTCCTGGTGCATTATTTCTGAAGTAACATGATCGTTTTTTAGATTATCTATAGATGTTATTGTAGATGTAATTTGTTTTGTTTGTGTGACTTCACTTAATATTTTATTAGCAACAGACATTCTACTATTCAGCAAAATGTCTACATAATTCTCAGCAACCGTTGTTGATTTCCATCCACCATGTCTCTTTAATATGGTTATGTCTGCACCTGCATCGACCATCATTGTTGCAGAGGTGCATCTAAAACAATGTCCTGTATATTGTTTTGGATTTTTTAGTTTCAGGAATGTTGCTATCTGATTTGGCATACTACCAAATTTGTTCATTCCAATGACTTGATTGGTGCAACGCCCTTTTTGATAATTTTAAAAAAAAATTTTACTTGTAATATTTCTTAAAAATTGTACAGAATAACCCTGTTATAGTAAATTTTGAATTAAAATTGCACCACCTAAATCCTGAATGTGATCAGTCTTCATCTGCTACAGTTCTTGCTTACGACAGGCACCCATTAGGAAAACTATAAAAGCCACCTTAAAATAAAAGTCATACATTAAATAAAGTATAATATACTATATATTATATTTACAAGAGTTTTGTTTACCTTTGTTGCAAGATAAACATCATCCGAAGCTTCATTGATAAATTTATTTATTTCCTCTCTTGTCAAAGTTTTAGATGTTTTTGGTTGAAATCCATCATTTTCTTTTTAGAAATACTCGTCATTTAGCATAATTTGCTATATTAATATTGTGCTTAATTGTAATTGTAGAACGAAGCATCGAATAAATCTTCCAAAGAGTGGATGGTGCCTTTTCATTGGATAGTTTGCTAAGGTAAGCAAGAACAACATTTTCGGAAAACGAATTTGCACATTTATTGGTTTTCCAATCCATAAATTGTTTATAACAATGTTCATATTCAACAACTTCAGAAATTGTATACAATAACTCTTCACTTATTTTGTTGTTTTTGTACCGATTATAAAGGTTTTTTCTTAAAAGGTCTTTTTTAAACTTTTTGAATCTGTCAAAACTTCAAAGCCGGTATAGTAGGTAACTGGTTTATCATTATATCAAATTTATTATAATTTTGATTTGTATATTTGAAAAACAATAAATATAACTATTTTTTGTGCCTAAACCTTAATTATACAACTGCTATTATTTTTTAATTAATAAATAATACAGTAATATTTAAATATTTTGATTTTTTACGTTTCGTAAACAGCCAGGAGATGTCGTTACTTGTGAGTCACAAGTTGTGACCATTCTTCACATACATCCACACATACAAGGTGTGTTCAGAAAATATCGGGAATTTTCGTTTTTTGAAAAAAATATTTATTTTTTGGATATTATGCACATGTGCCAGCTCTTCTTCCAATACTCGAAACTCTTCTAAAACTCGATCTTTGGGATAGGCTTTAGTTCTTTCAGCGATGCGCTTTTAATAGAAATGGCTTTATTAGTTCAAAAAACAAAAACTGTATACACAACAAAGAACATGTCACAATAGTAAACAATTTAAATCTTTACAAAAACAAAATAAACAGTACATGTGAGTAATATAAATAAAATACAGAGTGTAGCATAATATTAAGAATACATTAAAATTGCAAAGAAAGCTTACATTAGAAAATCACCTATACTGTAATCACACCTACTAACCAGATATTTAAATTTTTTAAGATCTAGATTTTTGATGGAATCAGGTAGTTTATTATATACTAATATGGCAAAATTGGAAATACCATTATATACAGTACTAATTTTTGTTTGTTTCGTTAATAATAAACTTTTATTTCTTGTCGTGTAAGCGTGATTACGATAAGTGCCT